GCGGAGCCCAGGGCCAGCAGGAAGCTTGGCTTCCTCCATTGCCGGGGGCAACCCAAGCCTCCTGCTCGCTCCAGCTCCCTGGCCGCTGCCATCTTAGTTGGGTTAATTTGCATACTCGCTCCTGATTGGCTGGTGGTCGTGGCTTGTGGGCATAGCAGAGGGGTGGTTAATTTGCATGTTTCTCTTTTATTATATAGGATAGATAATGAAACAGGAAAAACTGCCCTGACCGGTTTGGCTCAGTGGATAGAGCATCGACCTGCGGACTGAAGGGTCCCAGGTTTGATTCCGGTCAAGGGCATGTACCTTGGTTGCGGGCATATCCCCAGTAGGGGGTGTGCAGGAGGCAGCTGATCGATGTTTCTCTCTCATCGATGTTTCTAACTCTCTATCCCTCTCCCTTCCTCTCTGTAAAAAGCCAATAAAATATATATATTTTAAAAAAAAAAAAAGAAACAGGAAAAACTAAAACCAACAGGAAACGGTTAAATAAAATGTAGTTTGCAACCTCAGACAGCTATTAGTCAAGCATTAAAATAATGTTCACAAAGCAATGTAAACAACATGGAAATTTGTTTTTGTACATTAAGAAAAAAGTGGGGTACTAGGGCAAAGCACTGAAAAGATAAACTTTGCACAGAAAGGACAGAAAATGTATCGCGTACTATTGGTTGCATTTAATGGTAGAAAACAGCTGATTTCCCCTCTGATTTTTTTTCTTTTCTGCAGTTTCTTAATATTCTACAAATGATTGCTTATGTAATGGGAAGAATACATGATAGTTGCTACTGTTTACAGTCATGCACATTTCTCCCGTCTTTACAAACCGCTCGCTCCTGGAGGCACGCTCACTCACCGGTATGCGTAGATGTTGTGGGTGGCGCTAGCGATTTTCTTGTTCTCATATAATTTGGCAAGAACCATTTTCACCTTAAAAACAGCAGAACATGAATAAACAAATGTGCACATTTCACTTTCTCTATAAACAAACACTAGGAAACATCTTGAAGCTGATGTAAGCCCTGCAGGTGGCATAGAAGTTACGTAAAGAATCTTCTACGGCCGAGAAGGCCACTGCCAAGGTTCCTCCTCATTCAGGGCAGAGACCGGTGCTCACGATGGAATGAACATGACAGACCCGGTTTCTAAACACCAATTATCAGAAAAACACTTGAGCACTAACCATGCCTCGTACTTAAACAGGAACATGTTTCCCCGTGTAGAGAATTCTACATGTAAATACGAGAATTTCAAAAAATGAGCTCTAAAAGTTTACGCATTTACGCATCTGGGATGATAGATGCACCGTAATGGTGTGTCCCACAGTCTATAAACCAGAACGCTCTCTGGGCTCCTGCACGGCCACGGGGAGTGACGTGAGCGAGACTTGAGAGACGTGGTCATTTCTGTGTCCAAAGGGAAGAGGGGCAGGAAGGAGCCGCCTGCTCGGAGGACACGGTGTGTGCGGAGGGGCCAGGTTGGCAAATGAAAATAAAGACGCTCAGTTCAATCGCAACTTCAGGTCAATCACAGATAACGGTAGTGTGAGTGGGTCCCGTGTAGTGATGTTGATCTGAATCCCAATGTATTTCACCCGCAGCCCCAGCAGAGGCATCGAAGAGGAAGGTTTGGGCCTGGCTGGCGTGGCTCCGCTGGCTGGAGGGCTGTCCCACACGGGCCTGGACCGGAATCGAACCCACGACCTCCTGGTGCACAAGATGAAGCTCCAACCAGCAAAGCCCTGGGTCAGGGCTCATGTAATTCTTTTTCACCATGAAACGTAGTAATTTCTGCGGCACCACATGGTGTTCGTTTGAGGGTCAGCCCCAGTCAGCGTTTAGATACAATTTAAAAGAGTGACAGAGGACACCGAACACCCGCCCCAGATTCTCAGCATGGGGGGGGGGGAGGGGAGCGAATCGCTTCTCTTATGTGAAAATAACAACAGCAAAAGCAAGGGTGTGACTGCAAAGCCACTCGCTGGGACTGCGCTGGGGAAACAGCGTCCCCGCCTCCGAGGGCGCGAGCAGCCCACCTGCTTGGGGCAGACGACGGGAGCCAGGTGCGCCTGGAAGGTGCTCCGTCGGTCGGTGATGGGGACGCCGTGGTCGATCGGCGGCAGCTCTTCCATTTCTGTAAGTTAGGGAAGGAGGTCACTTTTATTTTTAAATTCATACATTCAAAATCTAAAACAGTGGCAATGGTGTGGGTGAGGGGAGAGTTGGGAAAGAAATGTACATTGTATGGCAAATCAACCCAAACAGCAATTCACAGTTGCCCATTAAATTCAGTTATAATGTTAAGTAAAAAGGCTCCCAATATGTTGCACATAAACCCACCTGTCTGATGTCTTTCACCTGCGGGAATCGAACCCAGAGGTCACCAGTGAGAATGGGGGCCGGGGCTCCAACCCCGGACTGTGGCGGCAGCACAGGTGACACGACTAATTTTTAAGAGTTTAAAAGGGTCTTGAGACCAAAAACGCTGACGGCTGCTAATACACCGTAACGTATTCATCTGTTCTCTTGTTGGTGGACCGATGACACTGGCTGGGAAACCTACGACATTGTTTTATAGCTATAACGTAATGTCTTCTGCTAATAAAACTGCTCCTACTTCATAGGGTTGAATTAAATCCATAGCTATAAAAGCCTAATATGCTAAGTGTCCAACCGAGCAGTTGACTGGTCGCTGTAACGTGCACTGACCACCAGGGGGCAGATACTCTGACCGGTAGGTTAGCTTGCTGCTGGGGTCTGGCTGATGGGGACTGGGCGAGATGGGGCTGGACACGCCCTGGAGCCGACCTGCGGTCCCACCGACCCCAATCGGCCCCAATCGGCCCCAATCAGGACTGGGTGAGAGCCCTGATGGCCACGATCGCCGGCCAGGTGAAGGGACCCTGCGGGAGGGCCTCTAGTGTATCAATAACGTGCCACACTGGTGTTCCACGGGGTGTCATCATTTCCAGCTACTCTGCGTCTTAAACAAGTTGAAGAGCCACTAGCCTGCCCCCCGTCTGATGAGGGGGGGGAGGCAGGGGGGGGGGGGGGGGGCAGGAGAGGGTGAAGGGGGATAAATGGTGATGGGAGGAGACTGGACTTGGGGTGGAGAACACCCCATACAACACAGAGATGACGCTCACAGTCACAGAACTGTACCCCTGAGACCCATACATGTTATTAACCAATGTCACCCCAATACATTCAATTAAGAGAGAGAGAGAAACTTACCAGCCACCCTGGCTGCTGTACCGGCTGCATTTAGGATGGAAAGTTATTCAGGAAAAAAGAATTAAAATGTGTCCCCACTTCTAGCCACTTGGTTGAATCTCACCAAGTCAGTTTGCCTGCAGTCAGTGAACTACTTCAGCGAACACCTGTGAACGTGTTTCTGGGCGGCTGTAAACCGCCCCGAAAACCACTGCGCTGGTCGTGGCCGGACGAGCACAGACCAGCTTCCCCGGCTGCTCTGCCGCCGACTCCCGTCCCGGGGAGGGCCGCCTGTCCTAGCCCAGCACGCGGGTCCCTGTGCGCTGGCTGCCGTGTGCCATGCCTGCGACTGTCACTCTTCTCATGGGGGGGTCCTGTTTCCCAAAGGAAACCTGATGCCAAGTTCACGAAGACGTGACTGAAGCGGGAGCTACGCAGGTCGGAGCCGGGCGAGTCCTGGGCCCTCCCCCTCCCTTCCCTCCCCCTCCCTTCCTCTCCGTCCCTCCTCCTAGTCCAGAGGCAGCGGGAGAACCTGAGACGCTCCCGGCACGGGTTCGAGGCCGATGTGAGGGCACAGGACGCCGGGCCTTCAGAGAACGGTGCTCCCTTTGGCCTATCGTGTTTCTATAAGGGATTGAGGAAATGGACCATTCGCTCAAAAATGTAAAATGCTAAAAGGGCCCGGCCGGCGCGGCTCAGTGGGTGAGGGTCGACCTATGAACCAGGAGGTCACAGTTCGATTCCCGGTCGGGGCACAGGCCCGGGTTGCGGGCTCGACCCCCAGTGTGGGGCGTGCAGGAGGCAGCTGGTCCATGGTTCTCTCTCATCGTTGATGTTTCTCTCTCCCTCTCCCTTCCTCTCTGAAATCAGTACAAATATATCTTAAAATACTAAAAGGGAACATACTTTCTGATGTTAACATACAGCTGATTCTCCTTTCTTTTTTTTTTTAAAATATATTTTATTGATGTTTTTTATAGAGAAGAAGGGAGAGGAATAGAGAGTTAGAAACATCAATGAGAGAGAAACATCGATCAGCTGCCTCCTGCATGCCCCCCACTGGGGATGTGCCCGAAACCAAGGTACATGCCCTTGACCGGAATTGAACCTGGGACCCTTCAGTCCCCAGGCCGACGCTCTATCCACTGAGCCAAACCGGTTCGGCTGATTCTCCTTTCATACTAGATTATGGAACAAATTCGCTTACGCAGAAGCTATAACCTTAAAGGCATTTACTGGCTTCATTCAGTGGCTGCACTTCCAATGAGGACATTTATTCTGTGACTTTTACCAAAATTTAATGCTGAGATGGCAGGAGGTTGCTGCGAACTTCAAAACAGAAAAACGTGTGTGAATTGAAACGTGAATTAAAAACACAGCTTTTCTTAGTTTCCACCTCTCCCATCACTATACAAAACCCTAGAAAAGAGAAAAGAACTTTCTACTTTCTTCCTCCCCATCCGACAGACCCAGCCAACACCAGACGACCAGCAGGCGGGAAAGACAAGAACGCATTTTCCTGCATATTAATAACTACTTCCCAACACGTGCGAGTTCACTACACGTCGACCCATCCCCAACCTATTCCCAGTATCACCGTCCACCGTCTAGAGCAGCCGTGGGCAAACTACGGCCCACGGGCCGGATTCGGCCCGTTTGAAATGAATAAAACTAAAAAAAAAAAAAGACCGTACCCTTTTATGTAATGATGTTTACTTTGAATTTATATTAGTTCACACAAACACTCCATCCATGCTTTTGTTCCGGCCCTCCGGTCCAGTTTAAGAACCCATTGTGGCCCTCGAGTCAAAAAGTTCGCCCACCCCTGGTCTAGAGACAGCTCGTCAGCGCCACGTACCTGTCTGACTCTCACCGACGTCGAAGCCCAGCGCTCGCCCTGGGGTCTCGGGCTGGCACACCACGAGGACATCGTCTTCACTCTCCACGTCTTCCTCCTCCGTCTTCTGCTTCACCTCTGGGCCTGTGGGACAGGAGACACGTGAGTGATCTACGCAGAAGTCAGAAATGACACTAAACACGGCCTCTCGGGCTCTGAACACGTCCTTCGGGGGAAGGAATCAGGGCCTCAGCCTCGGACACCAGGGGCCGTGGGGTCGTCTGTGATTCCAGAGGTTTAAGCGGCTCTGAGAAACACGCGAGCTTCTCCAAGGCCCACGGGACCCGCCCCGGGACCGTCAGCAACAGCAATGGCAGCGCGAGAGCTTAGCCCCGGGCCGCAGGGACACGCGGGCTGCAGGGACAGGGACACGCGGGCCGCAGGCACAGAAATCAGCAGAACACATGGAGGAGGCCGCCCCCCTCACAGGGGGTCCCGAGGGACGAAGGCAGGAGGATGGGGTCCGACCCGCCAGCAGGAAAACGCCTGCCGGCTGTCCTCAGTGCTGCTGACCGGACACCCCGTGAGCGCTCACACCCGCGAGGCGTTTGAGGGGACGGACACCCCATCCCCACAGCGTCCCTCCCGCGGGACTCGTGAAACAAGGCAACGATGGTGGCGCTGACGGTAAGTTTCACGCCCGTTGGCTCGGCCACAGGACCCGGAACCTGGCCAAGCTCTGTTCTGGCTGCTCCTGTGGAGGCCTGTCCGGGAGGAATCTTCACTCCGAGCCGACGCTCAGGAAGCAGACGCGCCCGACAGGGAGAGCCGCCTCCTCCAGCTCAGGTCCTAGCAGGAGGGGGACCGGCCCCGGCACAGGGAGCTCCGGGGCTGCGCCTGCAGACGAGCTGCCGCCTCAAGTCCTGCCTGGGCCCGGCCTGCCCTGCGGGTTTTGGACTTGCCAGACTCCAGAATGGTGAGCCAGGTCCTTAAAATAAACCACTCTCCCCCTCTCTCCCTCTCTCCCTCTTTCCCCCACCTTTTTCTCCTTCTCTTGCTCTTGTTTTTAAACACACACACACACACACAAGCACACACACACATTCACACACATGCACTCACACTCACACACGTGCACACACTCGCACACGCACACACACATTCACACACGTACTCACACACTCACACACATTCACACACGTGTGCACACACTCACACGCACAAACACACGCACACACACACACACCCCTCCTATCGGTTCTGTCTCCAGAGAACCTTGACTAAAGCAGGGACTCTGCAGTGCTGACCTCTGGCCAGGGGTCAAGGTCAAGATCACCAACAATAAGCACGCTGATGCCATGAGCCCCTCGACACAACGTGCTGTGAAGGACGCCGTGTCGCTGCTGTGGCACCACTGCCCGAGTGCCCAATCCTACTCCAATCGGGAAAATAACAAACAAACCCAAGTTGAGGAACGTTCTAGAAAACAGGCAATCGCGTCTCTTCAAAAGTGTCAAGTCATCAAAAGTCACAAAAGTCAAAGGAAGACGGAGGCAGCGTTGAGAGGCCAGGAGAGAGGAGGAAACAGGCACGAGGTCCTGTCGGGGCCCTAAGAGCCGGAAGGACATTCGCGTCAGAACCAGTGAAACCGGAGCCAGCTCCTTAGCGGACCCTCGGCCGCAGCTTCCGGGTCTGGACAAGGACATGAGGTCGCGTCTGAGGTTGTGGGGGGAGCAGGGTGAGAGGGGCATGCTCTTTGCGTCATTTCTGCAATTTTCCTGTGCGTCTAAAATTAGCTCAAAATTTTAAAAAATTGTTAACAGTTGTACACAATTATTTCAAAATTTAATGCTTCTAAAGTAGAAAAAAAAATATGAAATAATAAATAATAAATTTCTCCTGAAGATTAACACTGAAATCAAAACACACTCCTTGTCACGGGGGAGCCGGGCAGGAAAGCCCTCCTGACCCCCCGCCTGGCCCAGCCCTCAGGGCCCCCTCTCCCCCCAACGTGATCTACAAACAGTTCCTGATCAAACATCCCAAACAAAATGCCTGAAAACCATGAAGTACACAGAACACAGCAACAGCTTTAACATCGGAAGAGTGGCCGACTCCATTATGAATAAGGTGGAAAAGGGGAAATACCATAAGATCAATAATTTCTTAAGTTTCCTGAGGTGAGTGACCCCACAATTCTAGAGCCCCACATTGTAACGGGCGGCACCCCTTTCCTGCACCCGCCCCCCCACCTCTAGGATGGGGGCTGGCACAGTCCGTTTTGTTTTTAGATGACTTTTCCCTTCGATGCCCTGAAATGCTGTGCATTCGTTTACGGAGCAGAAAGCATTAAGGAAAGTACTTCAGAGAAGATCGTCAGTGGACAGAATGGCCTCACACTACTCATTTCTCTGCTGAAAGGAGCAGTAAAAGCATTTGCTTCTGTAGGAAAACAGTGAAATGCCCTGGAAAAAGGCACACTGTAGACTGTCGATGTACACTGACTTCCCAAGGGAGGCCTAAGTGACTCGTTCTCTGTACTGACCTTCTCAAACATTGGTCATAAACTAATGCGTGTGTTTTTTATCCCTATTTTTCCAAACTGAAAACCATTCTATCAGTGATAACAACAAAACTCTATTTGGAAATAAGAGTCGGGTTAGATCGTTACTGTCCTCTCGAGAAGGTCTTTGTGGAAAGTGAAGCAAAGATTAGCAGAGCGAGCAGGAAACGCGAGGAATGCCCACGATGTCACAGACTTAATGACCCAGTAAAAGGAAAACAGCAATAGAGCAGAATCTGAACGTTCCAATGTCCTGAAATCAGAGAGCGGTCATAGCTGCACAACCATGAAATATACTAAAACCACTCAGTTATACAGTTTTAAAAGGTGAATAATTATGGTAAGTGAATTACAACTGAATTTTTAAAATCAATTTTCAAAGTCAATTTTTATATCCTTACTATCCGTCAGTATATTTTTCAAAGTTTTTTTTCCATAAGCATTTCTATAAACATAATGTCTAGCTTATAGTCTAATAACTCATGAAGAATGTTACATGGTACATATTACCTTAACAATAATCAAAGAAGAGATTTTTTTTTGATCCATAAATTTTATTTAACCATAAAATTATATTTCTATAAGACTATATTAAACCAAAGAACCATAATTACATGAGTAAATGAACTTTCCAGAAAACTTATATGTAAACCATAGAACAGAACACAGACTGTAATTAAAAACTTCAAATAGAATATCCATGTGAAAATGTAATTACGGTAAGGAAAATGGCACTGATAATATTTTTCCATCCTACCTGGTTCTGTCATCTGAGATTTTTGTATTAGGACATCTCTTATTTTCTCCACCCACAGGTAAAGAATACTTTCACCAATATTCTGTCTAAACAAAATTCAGGGGGGAAAATGTTATTTAAAAATATTTCCTTCTCAAATTCAAAAAAATACAGACATCTTTACAATCTAAGAAATTACACGCATCTAGCCATGCCTTTTAAAGAAGAATTTATAAAGACATGAGATTTAGTAACATTTATGAATGAATATTTCATACAGTTTATACCAACATTAAAAATTCCCACTGGCTCCAAAATTAACATTTCTTAGTTAAAACAAGCAGAACTGTGGCACCCAAAGAAGAGAAAGAAAACGTATGAACTTGCACTGCATGAGTGAGACAGATGTACATGCGATTTAATTTCTCGGTATTAATGTCCGATCACTGCTTGCCCTTTTACACTTTTTGAACAATTTGAAGCCACGCCTGGGTGCGCTTCTCATTGGTCATGCTGATTCCCACCAAGGATGAAAGCATCCGAGAACTCCCTCAGGGAGCCAATTCACAGGCCTGAACAGCAAATCGATGAACAGTTTTATGTTCACACTAGAAGCCCGATGCACGAAATTCGCACGGCTAGGGTCCCTAGGCCTGGCCGGCGATCAGGGCCCATCGGGGCCTTCCGGCTGCTGGCGGGGGCCTCCCTTCATTTCATGCTGCCCCCTGGTGGTCAGCGCACGTCATAGCGAGCCATCGAACTCCCGGTCTCCCAGCTGAACGCCCAGGGAACACTTGGCATGTTAGCCTTTTATGTGTATAGATTCTGTTTTTTGACAAAATGTTCCACTGCCCAAGGTGGTTCATTTGTTCCAAACACTGCCTGGCTGCCTCAGATCACTAAGTCCATCTCCAGGCTCCCTGAGAAGAAGCGTGTCAGGGTCATGTTCACAAGCAGGTCAGCGAATGGCAACTGCACAGAGTGAAGGCCCAGTGCGTGTGCAAGACCCCCCAGGCCCGCGGAGGGCGCTGTCGTGGGCGTAACAGTTTCCCAAGGAAAATGAAGGTTACTCCTGCCCTTGGACTCCAGCATGCCACCCCAGGGGCGGCCACCTGAGGGGGGCGGTGGCTCTAACTGTTATCCGGGCCGCATCTGTGCTTTCTCGTGACAATAGCTTGTTCTTAGCGTCTAACTATCCCCTAGTGTTTGGTTTTCAGACTTTTGCCAGGAAGCCTCTGGCAGAATCAGGAACCAATCAGAACAAACAGAAGCTGTGTCCTCGTGCTGCGGCTCCTCCACCCCGAGGGTCCGTGAGAACCAGAGCGAGACGCCTGCTTTTCCTCGTGAAGTGAACTGGCGGGAAAGCGCTCCACAGGAAAAGTCTGAACAAAACGCTTCCCAGCTGAACAGAGAACGAGCTGGTCAAACCCTAACTCAACGACACGTCCCAGTGAGAGGAGCTGCGGGGTTTTAAATGACCCTTTCATTGGACTTTAAGTTAAATGCTGTTGAAACAGACCATCATAAATTCAAATACTACCTAAAAAATCTAAGCCCTTTCGTTTTCTCTTAACACCAACTGTTCTAAGTATTTTTTTTAAATTGGTTTTTAAAGAGAAAGGAAGGGAGAGGGAGAGGGAGGGAAACATCAATGTGAGACTGAAACAGGGACGGGCTGCCTCCTGCACTCCCCCTGCCAGGGACCCAGCCCCAAAGCCCGGCAGGTGCCCCGACCAGGAATCGAACGGCAACCTTTTTGGTGCACAGACAACACCCAACCAACTGAGCCACACTGGCCAGGGCTGTTGTAAGTATTTTTAAACGTCATTTACTTTTGGTTTTATTAGAATAATTGTTTTCATATATTCAAAATACCCACATGCAAAATACTTAAAGAAAAATATAAGCAAATCAATCAACATCTACGCAATCACCAAAGCCTTGCTTAGAGCCGTCAGTATTTCTTTAAGGGACATTCTTCTGCACGGGCATCCTTGTCCCTTAAAGGCCCCAACCACCTCCCTCAGAGTCACCGACTGCTCTCCACCGCCACCCTGCGCACCGGGACACCCATCTCACTCCACACTCCCCACGCCAGCTCACACCACACTCCCCGCCAACTCACACCCCCCCAACTCACACCACACTCCCCCCAGCTCACACCACACTCCC